GCCTCTGCCTAGGCTCTCCTCTCATTCTCCTCTCCCCTATGAGGTATGTTATGCAACTGAAAATTCCAACTGCCTTGCGGGGGGGGGGTGAGTTTGAGGTGTGGAATGGAGTGAAGTCCAATCAGCTTCCACATGCAAATGACCTTGGAACGCTGGGCGGGACTGCACAAAGCAGCCAGTTAACCCAGCCAGTGTCTTCTGAGTGGCAGTTCTTCCGGCCTAACACTAAAGGGGCCAAATTTAGAACGTTGCAAAATAGAACGTTGCTATTCAATTATTATAAGGGAGATATAAGCAAAAAGACAGAGGAAGAGGGAAGGACAGATATGGGGGGGTCACATGGGATAAAGAAACACAAACACACACACACAGCTGGGGAGAAAGGGTCCTGCGCAGGCATCTGCCCATCTGTCAGGGCAACGAGGAATTTACCCAGCTGGCCACATCCAAAGTTGCCAGCCATTGATGAGGGGCTCACCTCTCCAGCCCTATTCCGCACCCCCTGCAGAAAGGAGGTGAGAACTCCTGCCACCCATGTCACCGCCTGACGCTCTAGCAATCAGCCTGGAAACTCTATGGAGTTTCCAGGCTGATCGCTAGAGCGTCAGCCGGCGATGTCCCGACAAGGAACCGAGTCTCCCCTGCTATTACCTGTAAGTGACTTGGCAACCCTACTTGTCAACCAAACCTCTCCCTTCAAGCACCACGGAAGGGTTCCAGGGCTTTCTGAGGCCGCTCGCCTCCCCTGATGCTGAGGACGGGGCCATTTCTGAGGGACCGAGCCTGTACTGTGGTGTAAATACACCCAAGCAGGGCTGCCAACTCCAGTCTGGAGAGGGAGCTCTGCAGGCATTTCCTCCAGGGGACCTGGGCTATGTAATCTGGAGATCAGTGGTAATTCTGGGAGATCTCCAGGCCCCACCTGGAGGTTGGCAGCCCCTGTAATGACAAGAAGAAACCAGCTCTTTTTGTCCAGGTTAGGAGCTAAGTCACCTTCTGAAGCCATGTTTCCTCTGGCAGACCTATGCCGCCTGATCACTCATCCATCCGATGAAGAAATTAAAAAAATAGCTATTCCCCCTGCCCAGAGTCTCTGAGGACTGACCTCAGATAAAGAAATTCCTCTTCCTGTTATTCACTTCAGATCATTCCTGCCTGATTCCAGAAGGTTCCAAGGTGGACATGAGTCAGAAGGGTCTTTTTGATTTTTAGGCCAATCCACTGACTCATCTATGACCGATTTCCCACAAGCAGCTGCGCTGCCCTTGCACTTCCCTTTTCCCCGAAACTAAGTGTTCCCTCTAAGCTGAGTTAGTGTGAGCTAGCCTGCAGCTCACAGATATTTGTCTCAGCTCAGGAAGGAGGGCTCCAGAGCAAACTAATTTATGCAGCAGCCAAATCAGTCACTCACAACTGTAATGCCAGCAGCTCACAAAGTGGAATTTTCGCTCACAAGACTCCACAGCTCAGAGGGAACATTGGGAGGAATAAATTCGCCTGTGGTATCAATGTGCTACCAGCAAGCATTGTCTAAGCCTGGGTGTGCTCTGTTGAGCATTCACAGTCAACGGGAGGCACGGAGTGCCAACTCAGAGCGTGCTGATGTGCAAAACATCTGCAAACGGGTGAGATTCCAGTTCTGGTGTCTTCATGGTGTCGAGAGAGTACAAGAAGCCACAAGATTCCTTCCATGTTAGATCTCTAGAATTGCCAACCATGCGTGGAGAGATGACAGTCCCAAATATGTCAACATTTTAGTCAATCCCTCCCCCACCTTGAGAAAACAAGACTGTGAGCAAGCTCCCCCCCCCCCACCGGCTAAGCTGGTGTCTCTTGATTTCCCAGGTGAACACAATGATGATGATTTCGCCACCGATTACGAGATTACCTCTAGAACCCAGTTTCCTGAGAGTTGGTTGTGGCAAGTGGAACATCTGGATGGAACTCACAATGACTGGGGGTACCTGCTTTTTTGTCTTCTGTGGTGTGGCATTGTTCATCACTTGAACTAGTCATTTGAATGGGTCTGACAGTCATTCTCTCTCCACAGAGGATGCTGAGAGCTGTAATGGGGGTGTAATGTACTAAGTTCGAGACACGTAGAGTGATCAGCTCATAGTTTATTAGTGATTCAGCTGACTGTAAAAATACCGTAGCTGGACCGAAGCCCTGCTTAAATCCATGCACAATGCCACACACACACACACACTCCCCGTGATAGGTTATTTACAGTGCAACTCTAGGTCTATAGGTTCCTGTCAGACGGGGACGGCAAAGGATGAGATGGTTGGACAGTGTCATCGACGCAACGAACATAAAATTGAGCAAACTTCAGAGGACAGCGGAAGACAGGAGGGCCTGGCGGGAGCTGGTCCATGGGGTCGCGAAGAGTCGGACTCGACTGTGCGACTGAACAACAACAGGATCCTAGCTTGTTCTAAGTTTCAAGCTTGGTCAGTCCGTGTTGGACCCAGGACATAATAGGGGGGCAGGTGGTGGTGGTGGTTGTTGTCGTTGTTAAATTGATATGCAGCCTCTTTATATTTATTTATTTATTTATTTATACTTTCGATTTATATTCCACCCTCCCCGCAGGGGCAGGCTCAGGGCGGCTTACAACAAGTTAAAATATGACAGAATAAACACGATAAAACATAGATACATCGACAAAGCAATAATCTAAAATTCAGACAAACAATCAAATCTGTAAATAAAGTGCTGTTGCATATAGATGGTGGTAGCCTCTCCAAGGCAGTGTTAGATGGCAGAGAGTGCACTGTGGCCATACCCGTGTCATTAGCTTTTCTTGTTGCTCTCAACGTAAGGGCCTTGACTGTTCAGTTATTAGCAGTTCGGATGTTGTCCATGTGTTGGTGCTAGTGGCGGCTCCTAATCGAAGGCCTGATGGAAGAGCTCTATCTTGAAGGCCCTGCAGAACTGTAAAAGGTCCCACAGGGCCCTGATGTCTTCCGGGAGCTCATTCCACCAGTGCGGAGCCACCACTGAAAAAGCCCTGGCCCTCGTTGTAGCCAGCCTGGCTTCTCTGTGGCCCGGTAGGGCCAGGCGGTTTAGGGAGTTCATTCCACCAGTATGGAGCCCCCACTAACAAAGTAGAGCTGATGAATAGACTTGGGGTCTGTGCCTCCGTGGAACCCACTATTTAACAGTTGTCCTCCATGTTCTGGGAAGGGAGGGGGGATTATTCATCTGCCTCCCATTTTCTTCAGAAGCCTCGTGTCTCGTCCCAGCTCGGGACGGCACCTGTTGTCCACACTTCTGCTTTGGATGGGTCTGACGGGTCACCTTCTCTTTGTATCTAGGCTCTCATCCCAGACAGTGCCGATTTTCCTGCAAGATTCCATCACAACCTGGGAAGTGCTGGCCGTGAGCATTTCGGAGACTAAAGGTAAGGAATCCTGTACGCCAGGCATCGGGGTTGTGTCTGTGTGGCTGAGCAAACAATGACAAGCTTATGGCCTGCTTTGGAAAACGCAGAGGAGGTGAAAGGGGTAGTTGAGGCGTAACCCTGTTTCTTCTTCCCCCCCCATCCCGTTCCTCTCATTCCAGGGGTCTGCGTGGCTGATCCTTATGAGATCGTAGTGATGAAGGACTTCTTCATCGACCTGCGGGTGCCTTACTCGGTGGTGAGAAACGAGCAGGTGGAGATTCGGGCTGTCCTCTACAACTATTGGGAGCAACCCATCAAGGTGAGCTTGGGGATTTTGGCAGGAGGGGATGCATTCGGAACTGAGGGAGCTTGCACCTGACCTCTTCCTAGTTCTAGGGATTCCGCTAGGTTCTCTTATATGTTTGTTTTTATTTGTTAGATATTATTTGTTATTATTTATTATTTTAGATTTATATCCCACCTTGCCTGCACATGCAGGCTCAAGGCGGCATACATAGGCTAAAATACAGTCAAATACAAATACATTAATACGTAACAATAAAATTTCAAAACATACTATACATAAAGTGCAGATTGGAGTACTCTCTGTGACCTTGACACAGAGACTGCTCCACCTTTCTGTGTTATACCTCTGAGGATGCCAATCACAGCTGCTGGCGAAACGTCAGGTCCTACAATGCCACACAGCCCGGAAAATCTACAACAGCTGACGTTAATGTTGATGGTGGGCCAGGGCTATAGTCACTTGGGTACGGCTCCTAATCAAATGCCTGGTGGAAGAGCTCCGTCTTGCAGGCCCTGCAGAACTGTAAAAGGTCCCGCAGGGCCCTGATGTCTTCCGGGAGTTCATTCCACCAGTGCGGAGCCGCCGCTGAAAAAGCCCTGGTCCTCATTGTAGCCAGCCTGGCTTCTCTGGTGCCTGGTAGGGCCAGGCAGTATAGGGACTTCAACTGTAGTGCTCTCTGGGGAACATGTGGGGAAAGGCAGTCCCTTAGGTATGTAGGACCCTGACCATATAGGACTTTAAAGGTAAGAACCAGCACCTTAAACCGAATTTGATATGCTATAGGCAGCCAGTGCAGTGCTTTTACCGCAGGCTGGATGTGCTCCCGCATAGGGAGGCCCAACAGTAGTCTGGCCGCTGCATTCTGCACTAGCTGCAGCTTTTGGATTTGGAACAAGGGCAGCCCCATATAGAAAGCATTACAGTAGTCCAGTCTTGAGGTGACCATTGCATAGATCACTGTTGCCAGGTCATTGCTTTCGATGAAGGGAACCAGCTGCTTGATCAGCCTGAGGTGATAAAAGGCCGACTTGGTAGTGGCTGCTACCTGGGTCTCCATCATTAAAGAGGCGACTAGGAGCACTCCCAAACTCCTAACCTCCGTCTCTGGCACCAAAAGCGCCCCATTGAAGGTCGGGAATGAGATCCCTACCCTCGGACAGATCCGTCTCAGGCACGGGACCTCCGTCTTCGTCAGATTCAATTTCAGTCAACTCAGTCAACGCCAGGTCTGTATCTTACGATCTGGAGTCAGACTGGATGCCCAACAACAAATAGAGCTAGGTGTCATTCGCATACTGGTGACAGCCCAGCCCATGCCTCCGGGCAATCTGGGCAAGGAGGTGCATATAGATGTTAAATAACATCAGGGAATCCAGTACAAGACCTGTGTCATGATGCCATCTTTCGAGGTATGACCAGGAATCCCAAGATCTGTGCAGCTCAGCATCAGGCTCCCTTGAGGATTACTTGCAGCTGTGTCCTTTCCCTTTGGAAACTAAGCTTAGCTTCACAATGTCTTTGTTTGCTTGTTTGTTTGTTTGTTTGTTTCGGATATTTCCGTGCGACCCCTTCAGAGTCCTACTCAAGGGGGCTTACGATCAAAACCACGCCTCAATAGTAAAAACAAGCCGTTTGACATAAAATAGCATAAAAACTATCCATAAAACAGAAGCAGACCATTGGAAAGCTGGTCAGGTAGATTAAAACTCTGAATTAAAAGCCTTCTGCCTTTGTGAGTGCTGTGTTGTCACTCAGCCGGGGCTTTGGAGAACACGCCTTGCTGTCCATGGCTTGCTAGAAGGAAACCTGCACAGCTTGGAGCGAGGTGCATAGACTGTAAGGCACGGAAGTGCTCATGGCCCCAGTTCCCTTCATTTCAGCTTCCCTTAGGATTGTGCCCAGGAACCCTGCAAGAGCTGGAAAAACTTGTTCTCCTCCAAGGTTAAAGAGAAGGGGGAGGTTGGGGGTGACAGGAGTTGGAACATCTTCCTGTTCCAATGGCCATAGATAGAAAAATGTGTGTCTTAGAAACAGAATGTAAAACCGTCAAAATACTCCATCCTCATGGCAGAGTAGGGAATAGAAACTGTCATTTGTACTCATTGAGTGATTCCGCACTAGACCTTAAATCCTGCTTCAGCCCTGTCCCCAAACTTACATTCTACACTACACACGAGTTCACGCCTGTAATTTTCTCAGGGTATTTTTAAATTCTACACTACACTCGAGTTCACGCCTGTAATTATCTCGGGGTATTTTCACATCCTACACTACACTTGAGTTCATCCCCATAATTATCTCGGGGTATTTTTACATTCTACACTACACTCGAGTTCAACCCTGTAATTATCTTGGGGTATTTTTACATTCTACGCTACACTTGAGTTCACCCCTGTAATTATCTCGGGGTATTTTCACATTTTCACTTTAGGCTGCTGGGCAGGAAACTTAGGTCCAGGACCTCCAAGGTAGCTTTCTCAGAAGTGCTACCTGTTCCACGCACAGGACCGGAGAGACAGGCACAGATCAGGAGTCTCAATGCGTGGATGAGACGATGGTGTAGGGGGGAAGGGTTCAGGTTTGTTAGGCACTGGGATTCTTTTTGGAACAAGAGGGAACTGTACAGGCGAGACGGTCTCCACTTGTCCCGAGAAGGAACCAGGCTGCTGGCGCTTAAAATCAAAAAGGTGGCAGAGCAGTTTTTAAACTGAATATTGGGGGAAAGCCGACAGGAGATGAAAAGTCTCTGGTTCGGGTT